ATAGGATTTTGATTAATTACCGTACTCTATACAAAACTTGTCTATGTTCTTTTTTCTTTTTGCTCGACTAATAGAGTGATATGATGTATGTAAGGCTGTACTTCAAGGAGGTAACACATACAAAGTATGAGATGAAGATATATTTCAAAGAGTAGCCACTATCTTTTTATCGCATTTGAACGACTGACATAAGCTGTATCTAATTTGTATGTGTCGATGAAGGTGGGAACATGATCCTTGCATGGGATATGGTGAAGGAAGCCACAACACTGACATTCAGAATGAATTTTTTGGGGTTTTGCGAGCAGACACCCTTGGTATCACCCAATTGCGAATACATACAGTGTATTTATTTTTATGCGAATATACCCCTGAGTAAATTTTGTCTGGCTCCTAAATTCATTAAAAATGTTTGATGAGATAGATAGACCCCAATAATTCTATTACTGATGATGGACCATCGACCGCTTTTTTTTAATTGAATTTTAAAAACGAGGCAAAAAGTTCATTTAGGAATGTATTCACACTTGGGCTAATATTATAGGGGTATATTCATCACAAATAGAACTGTAATAATTGAGTGATATGATATGGGTCTTTTCTCAATTAACCATATTTCTCATATACTCTGTGCCATAAGCACAAAATAGGAACTATAAAGGAAAGGAAAACATGTATTTTCATACTGATGATACCCAATTAACCCTATTTCTCATGTACTCTGTGCTATAAGGACAAATAGGAACCATAACATAAAAGGAAAACATGTATTTTCATACTCATGATCATACATCCTTAATGAACATTAGTTAAGTTCAGTATAGATTGCATTGTATTCACTAGTACAAAATGAGACATCTTAGACGGAAAATTCCGTCTAGGAAACTCACATTTACGTCTAAAAAGACTATCCCAGACAAAATTTCGTCTAGAATGTGAGTCGAGTATGTTTCCGTCTAGGATGCGGTATCCTAGACAGAACATCCTAGACGAAAATAAAATCCGTCTAGGAAGCTTCCTAGACGGAATTTCTGTCTAGGATTATCCGTCTAGGATGTATCCTAGACGAAAATTCCGTCTAGGATACTTCCTAGGCATATTTCCATCTAGAAAGTATGCTAGATGAAAATTCAGTCTAGGATATGGGTATCCTAGACGAAATTTCCATCTAGGATACATGATACAGTGTTTTTTAAAAAAAACCTACTTTGTGTATTAAGTTACAAAGTGAGTATTCCGTCATTATACAAATTTAGAACCTACTTTAAGCAAAAAAAAATTGATCAATTCTGCAAGTAAGATAATCAAGTTTTAAACTAATTTAATAATCCATGTTAACAAAATGTATCCATCATTATACAACAAAGCAAAAACATTAATTTACAAAATGAGCAACAACAAAAAATAAGGTTCCATAACAAGCATCAAGGCAAAGATCCATTGCCTTGGAAGATTCCATATCTAGTCTAAAATTCCATTGTTGGTCAGAGATAACCGATCTAAGGCTATGTTTGGTTTGAGAGAAAGGAAAGTAAAATAGAAAAGAAAGTGAGTTTCTATTGTTTAGTTGGAAAGAAAACAAAAAAGAAAATGAAAATAATTTTCGGTGAAGAAAAACCCATACTCATTTTTTCTCTCCCCCTTTCTCTCCGTTGCCCAGGTGAAAACAAGGGAGAGAGGCGGAATCTGACGCCTCCGACTTCCCCGATCTCTCACCTCCCTCTCTCTCCAAAACTCCGATCAATCTCCCCTCTCCCCCCCCCTCATTCTCTTTCTCTCTCTCCCCAAATCTAGGGCTACAAAGCTAGGGTTTCTCCAATCGAGCTCTCATCAGCTTGAGATCGCGAACATTCTCTCGCTCTTCTATGGATCGTTCATCGCTGATCGCGTAACACGGGGGAAGATCTGAGGGTGAGCTTCGGATCTCGTCAGCTTGAGATCAGAGGGTGAGCTTCGATCCGAGCGTGAGCTTCGGATCTCGTCAGCTTGAGATCTGAGGGTGAGCTTCGATTCTTGGGTGAGCTTCGATTTGATGTATGTCCTCTTATAACCGTGCGCAATTTTCTTAAGTTTTTATTTTTAGCACAATTTGATGTTTATGCTGTCCTGTTTTATCATGAACATCCTTGTTTGTCTTTGAGCTTGCCAATATGCTGGCAATGATTTATATATTATATATATGCTAGTCACAGGAGGGATAAATCCAGCAAACTGGACAAAATTGTGAACTGGCACAGTTCCATAATTGATATTTATAAAGATTTTTAATCATATAGACAGGTTTTAGAAAGTGCTCCTCAATTTTTGTAATAAATATTATATCATAATAATAATATTTTGCTATATTAGTTTGACTATTTTGTGTTTTATTTGTGCCCTTAATAGGCACATCCTGGAGCAAAACAATTTCGTTACAAACCTGTACCGTGTTTTGAAAACTTGCAAATCATTTATGGGACATTCATAGATAAAATAGTACCGTGTATTGGTTGCTGGTGTGGTTTATTGAACTTAAAATTTGAGGCTTTAAGTCTGGGTATCTCTGTACTATGTGCTGTATGGTAATTTTGTTTAGCTTGAGAGGGGATACGACGATATCTAATATTGTCGACAAGAAACAAAAGTTACTTGTGATTTGTGAGTTTTTGCCTTCTACCTGTGATGCTTTTGGTAATATAGTTATTGTTCCTAGGATGATCAAAATACTGTTCCGAAAATTTTGTTGACCTGCAGTGCCATTGTGAAAGATTGGCTGGCTCTCAAGTATGCCATGAACAGAGCTCGAAGGAAGCAATGAGTTTTATCTCTCATTTTTGTAGGAATCCAGTATGCTAAATTAACTATTCAATTAGCACTTGACCCATGATTCCTTGACCCTCTGGTTTTAGTAGTGTTCTTTTCATGTTGTTGTCGAAAATCTTAAGAGTGCACCATAACCAAATGCTTGATTTTTAATCTTGCATCGTTTAGGACGTGAATGATTGGCCTCTAATCGATCCCTTGCCTTCGTATGTTTGTTTAAGCTTTCTGAGCATGTTTGTTCCTTGTGGGCTTGTTGGTGAAGGAATGCTGACTGCTGCTATTTGTGGGGATGTTTTCACTTCTCCTCCAGTTGATTCTATCTTAGCTTTATGGTTGTTTTGTTTTTGGATCAACTAGTTCAAATGCACTATCTTAGCTGATATTGCCTTAGTGTTGTTTTACACGAATTCAGAAATGTTTTAAGTGTGTATGCCTGTATGTGTGTGCGTGTGTGCTTGTGTATGTGCGTATGTATGTGCATGTATGTATAGGTGAGATGAGTTCATGGTTATTATCTTAAAAAGAAATGTGTTACGTTCTTGATATAAAAGGTGTTCAATTATGGGTGAGATGAGTTCATGCTACCTTGTCCGAGCCTTTGTTGTTTGAGTTATAGCTTGTTTACAATGTCCTGTGCACTTCTCGTGGTGTACGTGGCACATCATTGTTAATTTCATACATTGATTTATTTTATGTCATATAATGGCATTTCTTATTAATTTCTGTTAGTCCAAGCGTCCTCTGTATTATGTTTCAGAAAGATATACGTGCACATATTTGCATCTTTATTATACGTTTGTTGTAGGCTATACCTCCAATGCTTGCTATACGCTGCCAGTCTATTTTCCACAAAACTAATGCATATTGGCTGATTGCATTATATCTGATTGGCGGTCGATAAGCGGGTAAGTGCAGATAAAGTTTAATTGGCAAGTGTAAGTCTACCTTTGATTTCAGATTTACTATGTTTTCCCCCTTATATACCATGTTTTTGTTTAATGAACCTAACATAAATATGTTTCCTTTCAGTGCAAAATGGTATATTCTGGTTTTTCCTCATCAAGTGAGAGCCACAACTATATAATACTCTCCATGCAAACAATTCAACGTGAATGCTTAGTTAATTAGAAATTGGCTTCATTATGTTGCTCTTTTGGTATGGTAAATTTTATTTGGTGTTTCTTTCTTTAGTAGATTGTCTGAGCCTTGGGTTGGGTGCTTGTCGGATGCGTCCATAGGTGCGGGAGATCTGTGGGTGGTTGTGTGTTTGCATTGGGGGGTGCATGTGGTCGTGTGATTGTGCAGGTGTGCATTTGTATTTGTGTGCGTGCAAGTGTATGCATGAATGCGTGTGCTTGTGGCTGTTATGTGTTGGTGTTCAGGTGCATGGGTATGTGTAAATTATCTGTGCATGGATGTGTTGGTGGGTGGGCATACATATGCAATTAACCCTTTCCAATATTGAACAATTCAGAGAGTAGAATTCTGATTTGGATACAAGTGTGCAAATTATCTTGATCCATGCAGGGCAGAGGGGAGCACAAAAAAATTTTCAATAAATATTTGCTGGGAAGTTGTCTTCATGATCAAGGAGTTTAATCTCATAATACTAATTTTCTTACTCTGAGCCTGCTTCAAATATTCTAATTCACACAGCTCTCCATGTGATGCAACTTTCAGAGGCAGTATCATTGGTATAGCTAGGTGATAATACCAGGATGCGATGTTTTCTGGGATGGTTAACTGTGCAATTGTATTTGTTTTTTTGGAGGTAAGCTCACCAAAGTTCTTATATTCACCATTTATTATTTTGGTAATCCTTAAACTTGTTTGTTACAACTATGGACTTCAAATCCTAAAACTTGTTTGTAGGAGGCAACTGCACTACTGGCTTGATATGATGTTGAAAAATATTAATCCTGTTGTTCGTCGTGGAAAAATATGACACCTGATTTCGCTCGAGTACAAACGATTGATTGTATTCCAGCTATTTTATGTTTCTGTAACAAATGTGAACTAGTCTGGTAGTCTGATAGATGTTAATGTTGCGTCTCTACCTGTACCACGATATCTTAGTTTATTTGGTGAGAACGTAGTGATAGAATATCTTAACATTTTTCTTTTTATGCAATCTTTCAGCATAAATATCTTACTCATCAATACATAAATAAAAGTATATGTTAGAGCATTACTGAGTACACTTTTTAGTGTTTAATTTTAACTTTTTATTTGTCTTACTGAGTACATTTCTTTCCATTGCAGCTACACAACAGAAGTTGGAGATGGATGGTGAAGGTGGGAAGAAGAAGCCAGAGACGTGACGAAGGAAAGGCTTGCAACGTTGATAAGACCTCTATTCTGTAGTCGTTATTGTTCAAATCTACTTAATTATGATTGTTGGATTTGTTAATAAAACATGTGTCAAACACTTGTTATTTGTTTAATAGAATTGCGTTTAAATTTATTTACTAATGTTATTATTTGTTTCATTTTTAATGATTGTGAAAATAAGCACCGATATTATTTTAGCTGTTAATATGCAACATGTTTGGAGTATAATTTGATGTTTGGTTTCTTTGTTGATGTGAATGGGAGCAAATTTGTTGTAGATATTCAGGTTCAGTGTAGTTGACAGAAAAGATATTACTTTTGGTGATGCAAATTAGTGTCAATGAAAATATACTTTTTACCAACTAAAAAAATACTTTTGCTGACGCTATCTAGCTTCGCCAAAAATAATATCTTTTAGCGATGCTATTTTGCATCGCCAAAGGTATAGCTTTTAGAGACGCTTTATTCTGCGTCGCTAAAAGCTAAACTTTGGCCGACGCTAACTTGCGTCGCCAAAAGTATAGTTTTTAGCGACGAATAATTTTGCGTCGCTAAATGCTATACTTTTGCCGACGCATAGCTTTTACCGACGCTGCGTACGTCGCCAAAAGCACACTTTTGCCGACGCAAAATATTATGCGTCGCTAAAAGATATACTTTTCCCGACGCATGACGCGTCACCAAAAGTGTACTTTTGGCGATGCAGTGTATTTACGTCGCTAAATACTTTCCTTGACGCACTTTTGGCGACACGTTAGCGACGCTGAATTTTACGTCAGGAAAAAATTTTCCCGACGTTTTTTAAACTTTTTATTGACGTTTTTGTTTCGTCAGCAATGTTGTATTTTGTTGTAGTGATATTAGGAATATCGTGACATTTATTTCTGTAAATATTATGTGTGAGAAATGTTGTTCTTTAATTAGTGGAATTGTGTTTGTTTTTTATTATCATGAAATGAGTTAATATTGTGCAAACATGTTCGGTAACATGTAATTTTTTTAAATATATGGTAGAACACAATTTAATTTAATTATTTTTTAAATTGTTTAAAATCTAAATCTAATTCTAAAAAGTATGAATTAAAATTATATTGTGATAATTTTCTTCCTTATTTTCTTAGAAAGGTAACCAAACAAGAGAAAATGATTTTCATATGAATTTTCTTTGAACTTTCATTACAATATTCTTTCTAACCAAACAATAGAAAGAATATCATTTTCTTTTTTTTCTTTTCCTTTCTGTTTTACTTTCTCTTTCCTTTTCTTTTCTCTCCCTTTCTCTCAAACCAAACATAGCATTAGGGATTTGAGAGCGGAACCTTTTAACAATTTTAGGGACAAGCATCGGAAAATTTCGTTTAGGATGCATTCGGTGTAGGATGTCACATGTTTAGGAAGCATCTTAGCCGTAAATTTTCGTCTAGAATATCTAGTGTATTTTTAAAAAAAAATTAAAAATAAAAAATCTACTTTGCTATCTTAGACGAAAATTTCCGTTTAGGATGTTTTATTCTAGACAGAAATTTTTCGTCTAGCTTAATATCAAACTAGACGGAAAAAAATTCGTCTAGAATATTCTGTCTAGGATACGTGATTTTCTACTAGTGATTATTTGTATTGTATTCATATATTCTCACTTTTCAAGACAATCACAATTGTTTTTTAAACAATAAAACATATATTTTTCATTGATTTTCAATAGTGAAAATAATTTAAACCCCTACATATTTATGCACAGTGCTAGCCTGCTAGATTTATGAGGTAGAACAAGTATGTTAATTAAAATTTATTTATTCTTAATTTTTTTATCTTCTATAATCCATCTTCATGAGAACTTAAAGCTTTATTGGCTGGAACAACGACTTTTATATAATTTAAGGGGTTTTAAGTTAATTTCCCCTAAACCATCTGTACATTTATTTCAACATTCCATAGACTTTAAATTTAGTTTTCTGAAAGCTAGGGGCTACAATTAGTTTTCTAGAAGTTATAATCTTGCAAGAAGTGTGTGTGTGTGTGTGTGTATAGAGTAATGTTTTCCTACGGTGACACCTTAGATTCTCACCTAAGGACGCGGCCTAAAATCACATCATTCCCTATTTTTTCGATTCGCTCTGTTGAACTTGATCTACACGTTCTTAAACTCAAACACATCAATTTTTGGGTGAACCCGTCGTGTTTTGACCATTCGTTGAGCCGTGCGAAAAGTTCTATTCATTCGAAACCGTTAAAATTACGGTGAATGGATGAAGGGTCAAAACACGACGAGTTCACCCCAAATTTGGTGTGTTTGGGTTTAAGAACATGTAGATCAAGTTCAACGAAGCGAATCACAAAAAAAGAGGAATGATGTGATTTTAGACCGCGTCCTTAGGTAGGAATCTAAGGTATCACCTTAGGAAAACATTTCATATATATATATATATATATATATATATATATTATATATATATATATAGGTAGTATATTATAATATATATTGTATATATATATATATATATGGGGAAAGTGACATCTAAGGTGACACCCTAGACCGCCACTAAGGACGCGGCCTGAAGATCATTTACTTCCCTAAATTTTTTTTTTTGCGATGCGCTCTGTTGAATCTTGATCTACGACGTTCTTAAACCCAAACGCACATTTTCGGGCTGAACCCGTGATCGTGTTTTGACCCTTTATCCACTCGCTGCAACTTTTAACGGTTTTTGAATGAAATAGAACTTTTTGCACGGCTCAACGAATGGTCCAAAACACGACGGGTTTCCCCTAAAATAGTGTGTTTTGGGTTTGAAGAACGTGTAGATCGAAGTTCAACAAGCGGATCGCAAAAAATTAAGAGATGATGTGATTCTAGGCTGCGTCTTAGGTTGCGGAGCGCTAAGGGTGTCACCTTAGATTCAGCTTTTCGCCTTAATATATATATATATATATAATATATATAGTATAGTATTATATATTATATATATCATATATATATATATATATATAGTATATATATATATATGTATAGTATATAATATATTTATATATAGTATAATATATATATATATATATATTATAGTATATATATATAGGTATACTATATAATATATATATGTATATATATATATATATATGGGGAAAGTGATCTAAGGTGACACCCTAGCTCGCCACGTAAGGACGCCGGCCTAAGATCATATTACTTCCTAAATTTTTTTTTTTGCGATCCGCTCTGTTGAATTGATCTACACGTTCTTAAACCCAAACGCACCATTTTTCGGGTGACCGCGTGATCGTTTTTGACCCTTTTCACTCGCTGCAACTTTTAACGGTTTTGAATGAATAGAACTTTTTGACACGGCTCAACGAATGGTCCAAAACACGACGGGTTCACCCTAAAATAGTGTGTTTTGGGTTTTGAAGAACGTGTAGATCAAGTTCAACAGAGCGGTCGCAAAAAATTAAGAAGATGATGTGATTATTAGGCTGCGGTCTTAGGTTGGGAGCCTAAGGGTGTTCACCTTAGATTCAGCTTTTCCGGCTATATATATTATATATATATATATAGTATATATTAGTATATTATATATATATATATAGTAATATCATATATATATATATTATATAGTATATATACTATATATATAGTATATAAGTATAATATATACATATATATAGTATATGGAAAAAGTGTTCCTAATGTGACACTTAGATAATCATCTAAAGGACAAGTGCGGCTTAACAATGCACGATGATTGAGCTATATTGTGGGTGATCCGCTCCGTTGAACTTGATCTACATGTGTCTAAAACGCCCAACATACCAAAGTTTGGGGTGAACTCATCGTCGTTTGACCCTCCGTCTAGCAATGTGAAATAGTTCTATTCATTCGAAAATCGTTAAAATGATACGAGCGGGATAGGTCAAGCAACATTGGGTTCACGCCAAACTTGGTGTGTTGGGATTTTTAGAATATGTAAATCAAGTTTTTAACGAGCGGATCATCCATAATGTATGCTGCAATTTGTGTTTAGGCCACGTCTTGAGATGATTATCTAAAGTGTCACCTTAGAGGAACACTTTTCTTATATATTATATATATATATATATATATATATATATATATATATAATATATATATATATATATATTATATATATATATAATATATTATATATATAATATATATATATATATATATATATATATATATATATATTATATATATATATATATATATATATATATATTATATATATATATAGATATATAAATATATATTATATATAACAATGGCGTTCACCCAAATGTGGTGTGTTTGGATTTTAGAATATGTAAATCAGTTTAACGAGCGCGCATCATCCATATGTAGCTCAAATTTATGTGAGTTTTAGGCCACGTCCTTCAGATGATTATCTAAAGTGTCCTTTAGGAACATTTTTTCTATTATATATTATATTATATATATATATATATATTATATATATAGTATATAATATATATATATATATTATATATATATATATATATATATGAGAAAAATGGGTATGCTTGGTACCAAGCACAAAAAGTTATGTTCGGTAGTAAGGTGGCATAATCTCCTCCACTCATTCAAATGGTTGCATATCCCTATGCACTCCTCAACCCATGTGAATATGGTCCCCCATTTGAATGAGTGGAGAGGATTGTGTCACCTCACTACCAAGCACAAAATTTGTGCTTGGTACCAACCATACCCATATTCCTCTACACACACACACATATATATATATATATCCCTTAATTCTGAAATTTCCATTTCTTCTTCTATTTCAATGTTTCTTCTCTTTCATAAGGATATATATAGGTCATTGTAGAGTTCAGAAGGTAGCATGTGCTTCATGGATTCAATTCGAATGAACAAACTCTCGTGTTATACATCAAGTGTGAAAAGCTACAAACATTCACTAATTCATAACATACTTTAATACTTAAAACAACTAATTTCATGTATGTTCTCACATAGAGCTATAAAGAACAAATATATAAAATCTTTCACTATTAAAAAGGATTTTTTTTCTATAAATCACCTTTAAAAATAGGGTAATTACATGGAAACTACCTTTTAATTTCAATTTATACATAAACCATCTTTAAATTAGGTTTTTGTTACGAACAACCACCTCCTAGTCAAAAATTTATTAAAAAGTCAAAAGTAAGTTTAATCACTAAAAAATTCACCCTATTTTCAATGTGGTTTCTAGAAAAAGGCCCTATTAATAATAATGTTAAATTCTTCTCATTATACTTTTAACTTTATGCACTATTACATGCATATAAGCACTAAAAACTTCACCCTACAAGTCACTTACCACATTCTAATAGAAAACAAATAAGCCTACGTGCAACACACGTTCATTTTACTAGTTAAAATAAATTCATAAATCGTTCAATTCAAATAATACTTAGTTGAAAGTGTATTTTAAATGACTAAGAAGAATTTTTTCTGTTAACAAACACTAGATACAAAAGAGGAACCGATAAAGAGAATAAAGATACGTGCTAGAAGGCAAAGTTGGCAAAAAGAAATAAACTAAAAGTGTATGAAATGAATGTCCAAAGATTCAAATAAAGATACGTGCTAATACCTTGATTGACTCCTTAATTCCTCATGGCATTTTACACATAGTCTTGACCTTGGATTAATTGCTTGTTGGATTTAAGGTTTTTTTCTAGAGAGAGTATGTTATCTAAACGACACTAATACGATATTAAGATATCGATGTCAAACATCGGGCTATTTCTTATAAAAAAGACTTCATTTATCTTTGAACATATTTTGAGTAATTATTATAAAACCCCCTTCAGGTTTAACAATTTATTATGAAATTATTGATGTTATTTTTTCATTATGAGACTCATCGCTGTTAAAAAAAATGTTAAAATCCACGTATATTCCAAAACTACCATCTTCTTCTTCCTCTTAACATATTTTCGCTTTCTCCCAAAGACAAGACATAGATTAATTAGTAAGTAAAAGTTACACTAAATACATGCTAAAATCAAAGGATTGAATATGTTATATTGATACTCTATTAATTTTCCCTTTGTTAATGGCATGATGTGAAGATGTGAAGATAAGGGAGATAGATTTCCCTATAGTTTGAGTAAAAGAAGAGAAACTTTATTGAGATATATATTTAGAGAAAATGGTAAAAATTATATGAGTTTTAATAATTTGTTAACAACGGAGATGTGTTACAACTTACAAAAACATAATGTTGGAGGGTGTTATATAAACTGTCAAATCTCAAGAGGGTTGCATAATAATTACCCTAGGACCTTTCTAAGAATAAGGATGCAATTAGCAAATATTTAACGCATACACAGGCAAATCCGAACTTCTAAAGGATGTATCTGCAAATCCGAAGCATTTTAGTCTCGGCACTTCCCTTTGACAAAATTACTAGCCGGAAAACGTAAAGAAGGGTTTCGCTTCCAGATCTCTCCCCTGCTCGAAAAACCGAAAGCCCAACAGAGATCATCTATACATGCGGGATCTCGCTGCCCTCGGTTAAATCCACCGAGGGTTACATCGAATCATCGAACTCAGAAGCCAAAATCGAATCAAGATCCATACAGGCGATAGACGATGGAGTGGGCGACGATTCAGCATTTGGATCTCCGGCACGTCGGACGCAGCCACAAGCCCCTTCAACCTCACGCCGCCGCTTTCCACCACAATCAGGCGATCGTCGCCGTCGCCATCGGAAACTACATCATCGGTTAGCTCGATCTATCACTTCTCCCTCATTTTCCTTCAAGATCACGAGTTAGAGCTAATTCTGGTCCAATTTGCAGAATTTGATGCGCTCACCGGGAGTAAAATCTCTGCGATTGATATTGGGGCTCGAGTTGTGCGCATGGCTTATAGTCCTACCAGTGGGCATGCTGTGGTTTCTATTCTAGAGGTTGGTATATGAGAGAGACTTTCTGATTTTGAGTAGGGAAGATTGATATTTTGAAGAAAATGTTTCATGAATTAAAAAGTTAAAACTTGTCTACTGGAAATTCCAGTAGTTGACACTTTCCACATCAAAATTTCTTTAGTTGTTCTCTTGTCGAGTTTCTAATATTAGTAAGAAAATGGTGTTCGAACTGTGCATGGACTTTGAGACTGAACAGGCACGATGCAATCACAAGGCTGTAGAAAATCTGGTTCTGGATTATATCAAAAGTTACAAGGAGTCTATTATTGTGACCTGTAACTATCCCGATGATTACCAAATACAAGATTGATGCTGGATCTAGTCTATTAAAAGTGAGCTATCAAAACATTCTTTAAAAAAAAGTGAGCTGTCAAAATAAATTTTGTATTTACTTAAATATAAAACATATGGTTGGGACTTATGATACATCGGACGAAGGTGACAACACTGAGGTGAAATGGATATCATCTTTGAAGTTCCCTGAAGTAACCTCAAACAGTTTGGTTCCTTGGTTAGTTGTGATATAGACACTATTCAGCAACTGAGAGGCTTTATATGTTGATCTTCCACTTTTTACAGGATGAAAAACCTAGAATAGTGCTTTGAGAGACGAATCAGACAATGCTATGCCTAGTGCATTTTTCTATACACAGGAATCACAACCTGGATCCTTGTAGCAAAGATTAGGCATGATTTTGCATCCTTTCTTATGTAGGGATAACTAGGTTGTATATATGTGTGTGCGCGCGCGCGTCTATGTATATCAGTATATGTATATATTGCTTTTCTTTTCGTGAGAATCGGAACATGAACCAAAGTTCGTTCATACTTAACATTCTTTTTATTAGTCATCTTCATAATCACACAATGATGTTACCAAAGCAAGACATGACATCTTGACAAATAATTCAAACGTAATTACTTAACTACTTCAAGTTTTAAGAAAGGATATAATCTCGAGTCTTGAGAACTTATATTGAAACAACGTAAGTTATATTGAAACAATGCATGTTATATTGAAATAATACGTATTATGTTGTAATAGTGTAGAGTTATGATTTGTCGAGTTATTTCATTAGGTTATGTAACATTTAAGGCATGTTAGGTTATATAATGCAACATAACAAGTTAACGGTTCTTTTTAAATTAAAACAATGATAGACCATAACTTACAATTCGGTTACAAACTTTTGTCCAATTAGAAGTATACTTTTTGCCCTGATCAACCACATGCATGCTTTAAACTTGTGTATATCGCATAATGTATCAAACAATATATGAGTTATTTCTTTGTATTATCAATGACATTAGATCCATGTTTTATAATCTTAGATATTCTTTTACAGTATAGTTTGCTAGCATAGCATAATGTCCATCATAACTAATTCATAATATGTAAAATAAGTAAACTCAAAAGTGCTCCACTCAAGATCCAACATTGAACTGAGAAAACCTTAACTGTTAACTGCTGTCTAGACTCAGGTATTCCATATGTTGGTATCCGTATATTTTTCACATTTTCCCACTCACAGTGCTAGGGGTGCACTCGGTCCGGATACGGCTCGGATATGATGCTTACCATATCGATATCCGCTTACCCATCTCTGATACGGATACGGATACAGGTATACCTCGTTAAGGAAAATTCATAACCATATCCACTAACATCGGATACGGTTACGGATATACATGCGGATATATGAGCAGATATGCATGTGGATACAAAACGGATATGAGAAAAGTAGATAGTATGGAGAAAAACATAGTTCATGTGATACAAAAGAGTTCGTTAATATGTTCATTATATATTTATAATTAAAAAGTTAAGATTAGACATCCTGATCATCAAAATTAATCACAAATCCATAATCTAAGAATCGAAAGTATCGTAAGAGTATGACTAATATGTATTCGGATATTTTGGATACGGATACAGATATTTCACTACAAAACCATATCCGTAACCATATCCTATCGGTTATAGATTTGAGTAACCATATTCGTATCCTAACGGATACGGTTACGGATATTTCCTCGGATACGGATACGGTTTAGCACCCCTACACAGTGCACATAAAGATAACCATATGGATTCATATCGCAGAAGAATCTGGATACCCATTGTGGAATTTGTTCGTGTTTTAGTTAGTAAAAATGTAAGATATCTGCTGCATCCATCAACTTGTGATCCAATTTGGATAAGTTTGGTTTCATGCTTCATATTTATGTACATTTTTATCTCACAAACATGAGGCTCCTAGTCAGGCTTCATTGTCATTGGTATAAATTTTAAAGGCAAGGTGGAGCCCTTTTCTTGAGTGCTATGCTTACACATTGTAAATATAATAAGCTGTATTCTATCTATTTCAGTTCATCTTATAAGTTAGTTTAATTTAGAAGCGACTTTTAAGCTAATGTCTACCCTTAGTTTAATTTAGAAGCGACTTTTAAGCTAATGTCTACCCTTAACCTTTTGTAATCGGTGTGAATGGTCACCAATATCCCAACCCATCAAAGTTTGACATTTGAACTACATAACTAGTGCCTAAATGCAGCTCATGGCTTAAGCTATTTACATATCTAGTGCCGCAGATGCAGCTCACGGCTTAGGCTATCAGTAGGTGTGTACTATAAACAAGTTTAATATTTTAACTATTCCCACTCTTTAATTTTCTTCATGTTCTTGTTTCTGTTTAGTATTATGTCCCTCTAAAATTCATAAACTTAAACATCATTTTCAGACTAAAGCTTCCAGCATGATTCAGTCGTAAGGAACCTAGAAATGGAAATTGAGATATTGGAGGCTGAATTGGTTGATGAATAAACTTGATACAAGATATAAATTTAAGGTATGAAAACAATTTGAGCTTAAACAATGTAAGTCATTTTAATTTCTTGGCTTAGATGCATGAGTGCAAGGTTGTATTTTCTTTATTAATATTCTTTGTTTTTTTTTGGGATAAATTATACAGGGAATTAGAGAGCTTAAGAGTATGATGTTAGACAAACGTGGATATAGATATGGCCATATGGGCAAGGACACGGGACAAACACGAAAAAACAATTAATTCGTAAAAGGTAGGGACCGGGGAATGTAGCTATTATATATCACTTATATTATGTTATGTAAAGTATATATAAAAAGTGGTATATTATAAGTTCTGTAAATCGCATGCCAAAGCAAAGCTAGTTTATAAAATTCCAACATGTATGACAATATGTACGTGAAATAAGTAAAGAGTAACAATGCTAATATCTATTATGCAGAGTTTTTTTAGCTTACTAGTAATTGGGTATCTAGGTTACAATCTAATCCAATTAAATCTTGCTAATAACAACTAGAAATATAGTGGATACTTGCATCTTGGAAATGGAAAATCAAAGTTTTAGATTGAACATGGCTAGATGTCTCCAATTTGGTGCTTTGTGATTGCGTAGACATGGGGTTGGTGTCCTTCACATGTTAAACTTGGTACATGACCACAAAAACGTGTATGCTTTATAAGACTCATGCGATCATACCAAATTTTAATTTGTATAGACACAATACAACTTAAATGCATAAACTTTCTATTTGATAAACTTGTGTTTCATCCTGTTGGATCCCTGTATTTGGGTTAAAATTACAGGACTTGGGGGGCATGTGACTAATTGATTTGATTTACTCAGTGGTCTAAATCTGTGATTATATTCAATATTTTTATATTGAATTGAGATTCATCTGTAGAACATGTGATTTCAATTCGAGGATCCATGGAAGTGATTAGATTATCACATGGCTTAAAAAATGGTGACTTGAGATTAGTGATTCATCCAACTGAGTGACAAGAATTGGAATCCAGCAGTGTGGAGCATCTAAATACAAGTAACCAAATTGCATGAATTGAATTTGCAATTACGTAATACTGTAACGCCAAGACTCAATTGCAGTGACAGCTCTACTAACTGAGCTATATTCTCTGAGAATATAGAAGAAGACAGTGCATGCTTCGTACTCGGAACTTTGGATCACTGTCCCTAGAGTCAAGGAGCACGTCCACATTTTCTGATAATAACCATATTAACGCCAAAGTTATTATCTAAGTTTTAGCTGCAAGTAAACAGAAGGCCATTCGGGGCTTAGACAAAAATGATAGAAGAGCGTGGTGTTACGTAAACTGCATACATTTCACATGATTGTTTATTCATATATCGGGAGCGTGGTGTTACGTAAACTGCATACATTTCACATGATTGTTTATTCATATATCTTTGCCGACATAGAAGGAAGCAGTCAATCCCTTTCCTTGCTGCTGTCCTGTTTGTGTGCCTTATTGCCTCCCTTCTTTGTTGTCAATTCTCAATTTGCCTCCTATATGTTAATTGAACCCGATCTTTTAGGATTCATGCATTAGCTGTTACAAAATAAGTTGGAAAGGTTTTTATGTGATTTACTTTTGAAATTGCAGTTTGATTTTAAAGTCTTTTCAGAGTGTTATTTCCTGGCTTGCCTTTTTTTCATCTCTTCCTTTTATCTGAGAATGTTTCTTTCTCTTTTGTGTCTGTGCTTATCTACTACGTCTAAACCTTCCTTTTTTTGACAAGTATAATTTGGATTGCTGGAGTTTGTAAATGAAGTGACAGTAAAAACGATTTCTCATTGTAATTCTTAGATGTACTGTTTCCTCAAAGTGGAATTTTCAGAGACAAATTCTTATATTAGTGTACAATCTTTTCTGGTCTAGTCTTCTAGTCGAGATTGAGTAATAAATATATAATCTTAGCTCAATTGAAGAGTTGGCCATGAAAAATGAGAGTGAGTTTTGTTTAGTACCAACCATGTTTTTGTATCTGGTTTACACCTATAAGCTTTATTGCAAGCATGTTGATTGTTGCGGATGAGAAATAACCAGAGGATTAATGTTATTTCAGTGGAAAACCTGTGCTGAGCGCATATTATTTTGGTCATGTTTGTTTCCTTTAGCATGCGAGTCATATACTTCCTATTATCATTTTGTTTGTATTCCTGATTGCCTGATGTTTCCTAAAATATAATTCTATATTATGCTTAAGGTTGTTAGTGTCAAATGAATCTGTGTTATTGAGTTCTGCGGTAGACCCCCAACTAAATTCTCTGTTAGTCTGTTTATAATGTAGCCTTTCCTAACAGTAGAAAGTATACGTTGCTGCATTACTGATTATTTGTTAGTTGTGCTAGTTTTTTTTACTTTTACTAATCTTGATCTTATGTATTTTACTTGCAGAAATGCTTCCAGCATTTCTTTCCGTTTACGCAACAAATCCTTGTGTGAAATTCGTTGCTAGGCCATTTCTCTTAGTATCCAGTTCATTCTTCTGCTTTTACGAATTTCTTACCTTATGCATTCTCGTATAACGTATACATCCCCCCCCCCCCCCCAAACAAAAAAAACACAACAAAAAAAAAACACAACAAAGTAACAAGTCATTATGCATAAAATTTCTTTTATAGTTTTGTTCTTAGATACAAATAACTGTGCTTAAGCTTTTTGAAGTTCACGGCAGTTCCTGTTTTTCTTATTTTAGGACTGTACGATTCGATCCTGTGATTTTGACACCGAGCAGACCCTTGTCTTGCACTCACCTGAAAAAAAGTCAGAGCGTATATCTGCAGATACTGAAGTTCATCTTGCACTAACACCACTCCAGCCTGTTGTTTTCTTTGGATTCCATAAGCGGATGAGCGTGACAGGTTCTACTTTTGTTCTTATTACTATGAATTATTCTAGTTTGGTTATGCCTTCTGACTTGCATAGTTTTTTTGGATCACATGAAGTTGTTGGCACTGTGGAAGGAGGGAGGCCACCCACAAAAATAAAGACAGATCTTAAAAAACCAGTTGTCAACCTTGCCTGTCATCCTCGTCTTCCTGTCCTGGTAGGCACATGTTGATTACAATTACTCACTTTTCTCTTTTGCTGGCTACTGACTACTGAATATCTCTCATATTCGAGTAATCTTTCATTATGTTTGGTGGGCAATTATTCCATTCCATGCAGTACGTTGCTTATGCTGATGGCCTAATTCGAGCTTACAACATCCAGACGTATGCCGTCCAGTATACACTACAACGTAAGATGTGAATAACATTCTATCAACCTGTGCTATATTCTTTATCTTGTTTTC